ATACAAACTGGCCTCAGACAGAGCAAGCTCATCTCTGTCCCATTGGTCTTGCGTTCGCTGTCCTTTTTGCTTGGAATATTATTCTCCCAGCGTTTCATAAAGCTGCCTCGTTACCTGTGGCTCAGCTTCCCTTGATACAGGCCTCCCCGGACCTCGGCAGAGGCTGAAGCTAATGGACCACACACACACCCATGGCCCTCACCTCCCTGCCCTGAGTTAACTCAACCCCAACACTTGTTTCTTTGTGCCTACCCTCACTCCTTAAGGGGAGCACCTCGGTCGTCTGATTTTCATTCACGGCCATTGTCGTGCCGTGTACCTGTGATGAAGCTGTCACTCGATCACTTGTTAAGTGAATGAGCATCACCACTCTTGTCTGGAGCGGAAGCTCCTAACCTATGGTGCAGGGGTTTCAGATCATTTCCTCCCCACCCAGCTTCCAGCTGTAAGTGAAATGAAGGGTTTGAGGATATTTGTAAGTGCTTGGTGGGGGGTTGAGAAATGTGTGGGAAGGCATCTATTTTCTAGATTCTCAAAGGAATCGAAACAACAAAATGTTCATTACCACTGGTATAGAGTTTTAATTTAGAAAACACTTGCTCATACATGGAGTTCTTACTACATGTAAGGAGACAGGTTAGTACAGAAGTGGTCATTTCTACCTCAGATAAAGGCACGGAGGTAGAGAGAGTTTAAATGTGTTATCAGACTTCACACAGCCAGTCAGTGGTGGAATTGACACGAATCCATTCTTTTGGACTCAAGATCCTGTGCTCTTTCACCCAGAACCCTGGGCTAGTCAGCTTGCATTTATTCTAGTTTATCTTTATTTGCTTCCAAAGACATCCAACTTAAACATTTTCCTAAGAACTTTCTTTTTTTTTTAAAGTTTTGTTTATTGATTTGAGAAGGGGGGTAGAGAAACATTCATCTATTGTTACACTTATTCATGTGTCCATTGGTTGATTCTTGCCCGCGCCCTGACAGGGGATCAAACCCTCAACCTTGGTGCACCAGGATGACGCTCTAACCAACTGAGCCACTTGGCCAGGGTCTCTAAGAACTTTCTTAAAGGTCTGCCTTAAAATTTCCAATGAAAAAAAAATATTGCTATCAGCTAGATCAAGGCAGTTTTCAAGCAAAATTTTAATGTATGAGCCAAAGAATGCAAAATAGTTTTCTAAAAGCCTAAGTAGAGCAAAACTAGAAAAATAGATTTGCACAAATAAATATAACACACCCTAAAACCAAATTAAAACAGTGTTGAGATCTCTAATGTTTAGATTTTATATACGCTTTCAGTTGGGATACATAATTGAAATATCTATATTAGAAAAGCAATTTAATTTTTTAAAAAAAATCAGTTCTTCTAGAAGAGAAAAACCTGAACTTAATCTCTCGCCTGCTCATGCGATTTTCAAAAGAAGGGAGTGGGGAGCATTGTGTTATTTGGAGAATTACTGCAAAATGTTTAGAGTGTGTGAATTTGGCAGCATCAGATACTTACTGTCAAAGGTCTTGTCTATAGGATACAACCAGACACGGGCTTCAAATGAGCTTTTTATTAACCTCCAGAAGTTATAGGGAGTATGCCACTTGAAACAATCTCCCATTCTGGGAGGATCCAGGAAATCAAAGACACTTTTTCCCTTCCTTACTAGCATCTATAATTAAAAACCTGATTCTTTATTTCAAGGGGGAAATGTCCTCTTTATTGAACTAGCAGTTTTTCTTCCCCGTACAACCCACAAGGTCAACATCACATTTTGTAAAAGAATGTCCATCTAACTGACTTGGGTGTCATTCTTAAATTTTGATGCATTTAACAATAGCTAAGCACCACGCTCGTCCTGCATTCAGCGTCCTGCTACCTCGAGTCCACTCTGCTGCTCAGGGGCCACGTGCACCAGGTGGCAGTAGGTAGCGCCAGCTCCAAGTACAGTATGGGTGGCTGGTGACGGACAGGACAACCCTTCGAAGATGTTGGCAGTTGTGGGAGGAAGGGTGGATTCACCAGTTCACAGGTGGGTCTGCAGCTAGCGGCGGCCACATGGGGTAGTAGATAATGACGGCCAACGTATCCAGGTCTTTTCCACTGAGGGCCAGTTCATGTCCTGCTTGGTACCCGAGGGCACTCACCTGGGCAGCTGCAGGGCTCCACAGGTGTGACGGTGGACACCAACAGAGACGTTGTCGTGGCCATGTCAACCATTGGGTCCGCATCCTTTTCCCGGAGGGCAAATTCAAGACCAACATTAGAGTGGGCGGCCTCACAGGCCCTAAGGGAGTGGCCCTGGACCTAGATGGACATATCATTGTGGGTGACAAGGCATTGTCCCTGCACCTTCCAGCCAATGACAAGCTGGTTGGCCATGGTGGGGGATGTGGGGACGCAGACAGCTGGATGCCATTCTGTGACTGTGAACAAGAATGAGACTGTAGTGACAGATTTCCATACCCACTCCTTGAAGGGGCACAGTGCCAGCAGAGTTCCTCTTCAGGTCCGGCCTCCTTGGCGAGGGCAACGGGCAGCTCAGCTCCCCCACGGGCGTGGTTGTGGTCTCCAGTGGGAACGTCCTGTAGGTCACCTGGGCAACGGCCGCACCCAGGTACCCAGTATCTCTGGCTCCGGACTGGTCTACATCAACACATCTGCAGGGCCAGTATAGGGCCATAGGGACTGGCGCTGACTTCGGATGGTCACGTGATGGTGGCCAATGCTTGGACCCACTGCTTTAAGTAGCTGCACAGGGCCCTGCCTGGCTCAGAGGGATGGACTTACGGGCTATCGGGCAGGAGGGTCTGGCCAGGAGGCGGGCCAGATCCGGCCTCACTAAATGAGAGCTGTGGGCGTTCGCTCGTGCGCCGGGTGCCTTCCTGCTCCACACCTCCCAACAGCAGGGTTACACCTTCCTTGATTCTTGCTTTGGTGACTGGTGAGCCTGGACTGCAGTCCCAAGGATGTGCGTAGAGCTACGCCCATTACACGCCTCCCACCCGCTCAGTCTGCTCCCCACACCCCAGCCTGGAGCCACAACGGCCTCTTACTCCGAGGGAGAAGCCCCTCTGGTTGTCTCCCTGCCACCCCATGAAACTGACAGAGACTGTGCACACCCTGTCACCCAAGTGAAATAAATGTGCTTCCCCCCAAAAGTACCCAATGCAGGATGATATGTAGTTTAAGAGCACATTTACATTTAGAATTACTTTATCAAAAGATTTGTCGGGGCCTCCACTAGGAATTTCCTGATGGCTTTCTATTACATGCGTACTTATTTTTAAAAAAACACAATTGTGTGAATTACTGCCCGTTTATTCTTAGGCCATCTTCATGTTCCAAAGATCTATAAGCAAACCACCGACAGAAGGGGAGGGGGAAGATCCGGAGCCCAGTGGGGGAACCACTTTCTGGCTTATGATTGCCAGGGTGAGGACACTTTGGGTTATTCCTTAACTCTAACTCATGCTACCATCTCGGAATCCTACCCACTGCCAGGGTCAAAGATCGCTGTCACACAGGAAGGGCAGTCTCCGTGAACTCCCTTCCTTCCTTGAACATCAACCCGGAATAGACAATTGGCGAGAAGGGGTTGTGATGTTGGAAAGAAACATGGGTTTTGGCTGGCAGCTCTTAGCATAGTTAAAGGCTGATAAGGACCTGTGGGTGTTTTCCAACCACCAGTTTTTGGTACTTTAAATGGAATGTGATTCATTTTATTCTAGAAGGATGAAAAGCATTTACTTCTGCTGAGATTCAAACCTATCCTTCTTCAGAAGTCTAGGTATTTCATACCAGATCATTGGGAGTACAAAAATCTTGAAGACGGGACAGCATTTTGTTTTCCCACAACTCAAAAGCTCTTGTCCTCGATAACATTTGGTATCTTTGTTATTCCTTGAAATGGTGTTTGCTCAACTCAGATCCCAGCATCACCGCCTGGCAAAGAAGGGTGCGCAGCAGCAACACAACAGGCTGTGCCTGTGGCACAAAAATGGCCTCAATGGCTTAGCGGGCTAAGAGTATCCCAAAAACATGGCGAAGATCAGCATTTTAATCCGCTTACTGACCGGTTTACTTTGCTGACCTCTGTTCTATATGGGCCCCAGCCACCTCTCAAAGTTCTGTTTCTAAATAAGGAACAACCAGGTAACAGGACATAAGCACAACCAACATCAAAGACACAACACAGCAGGGACCGCGGCTGGGGGAAGGAGCAGGTCCACACACAAGCTTACAGGCGCTTCATTGGGTCTTTCACTCATTCTTTCTGGGTGGCAAGTGCTGAAATCACAGAAGGAAACCAGCTACGGCTTCACCCAGGAGGAACTCGGTGTGTAAAGACAGCAGCAATTACCATTCAACTCCAGTAACAGGTGTGTACAGGGAGACGCCAAAGGATGGACTGAATGTCCTTTTGAACAGCAGAGGTAGTCTCGTGACTAGTGATATAGTGCCTCGTGAGTGCAATCTAAAAAGACCAATATGAGCCACTTAATCTATTACTCATGAGTTTTGAAAAAGTAGGACCCAGCAATAGGCATTGGGGAGCCTCTAATACATGTAGTAGTAAGATTGCATCCATTCTTTCATCTTACTGCTCATTTTTAGTGTCAGGCAAATTCCTGGCCATATGACTAAACAGAAATTAGAATTTTAAGCTTTATGCCAGGGCTTTTGTCTCAAAGACATACAGATGTGGTTCACATGAACCAAATGTCCTGCTCAAGGTTTTATTTTGGATTTGTAACAAGGGGAAAGTGTGATGGAAAGCTCTTCTTAGGAAACATCACAGTTCAGTGAAGTCACAGGCCCCAGAAAAGACATAATCGTTTAAAGTGAGCATATCAGGATATTTAAGGTCCCTCCTAAAATCTCTCCAAAAATAAGCTGGACCAATAAAGCAGAGCCCCTAAGTAAGTGAGACACTATCGCCACCTTGTGTTTAACAGGCTTCACTGCACCCACATTATTGCAAAAGATCGCATTTAGGATTCAACAGTTAGAGAATATAGCTTTATTTATAGAATCTTACAAATAAAACATTTACAGTTCATATAACTTAAGTTATTTTCTTTTCTAGTTTATCCTCCTAACTCCTGAGTTATTTAAAAAAATACTGTGATGGAACTGCAGAACTGTAAAAGGAAATATGAACAATAAAAACCTAACCTCTCGCAAAAAATCAATTTTTTGTTTTTGAGCAGATTGCCAGCGTACCACCATCTCTTTGGATGAGGACTTACTGAAAAACAGGTCTTAGTGTACCCAAACAGAGAAGCCTTCTCTTTTCAAACCCTGGGTGAAGGATCAATGAAGGAAAGCCCCGAGGCGACACTAGACACAGAACGCCTCTGGGAGCAGGGAGAGAAGGCGACTGCGTGGCAGGGCGAGGGCCAGAGGCAGCAGCACCGCCGTTCCTGGCCCACGCCCCGCAGGACGCCGACTTTCCTTGCTACTGTTAATAGGAGCTGGTCCGTCCGGGGACAGAGGGGTCGGAGATGCGAATGCAGGGGTGCAAAAGTCCTCAAAATGTTCTACCCCTCAGACTTCTGAAATGTACAAATGCTTTGAAACCAGCAAATTCAACACTTAAATGTCCAAAAGGAACAGTCACATTTTCAACTCATGAGGCAAGGCTGCTGCCAATGGCAACATACAATCAGCTGCATGAATTGAGTGTTTCTCCACCTCCTCAGCTCCGGCCAGGACTGGCCTCTGGACTAGTTACAGTGGAGAGAGAACTTCCCTTTGCGGCAGCTGTCCGTGAAAGGAACGCTCTTCACACAGATGTGCACAGAAAGGGGAAGCGCCCTACCACTTCATATTTTATTTTTTAATTTGTTAAAGATTATATTTTTGAGCTCTTCTAAGACTAGAAACTGACTAACCCTAACTTAGTATTTTACTCCAAGAGTAACTGTACTTGTAAGGAATGATCTATAGGGAATGCTAAAATTATGAATTTAATACAGCGATGTGAATTAAGGAAAGCAAAATCTCCTCAAGCCCTAAAGACTGAGTGTTATTTTCTGCTAGCTCCTGAAAGCAATTTGAGAAAAATAAAACAGAAAAGACAAAGAATCAGTAACAACAATAATGATAATATAAAGTTAGATTCCAACATTCAAGGGATTGGTTCTTTGGTAAAACTGGACCATAACCCTATCAGGAGACAGTCCTGGTATTTAATCTAGACTCTTTGATAACCGTTTTCCTTCTTCAGCCCATTCTCAAATCTATCCAAGGCAACAGGCAAGAGAAGGAGAAAAACTTACAAAGCATTATCAGCAGTTTTCCTGCTCATGTTCTTTTCAAGAATATTCCTGGTTTGAGGGATGTTTTCCAAAAAGAAAAAACAAAACAGAGGCTGCTTTTAATTACTGTGTAGTGGGAAGTTTTCCTGGGTGAGGAGAGAAATGCTCGCAGGCGCTGGCGGAGAGCCCGCGCTGTCAGTCCCGCACACAACGCAGTCTGCGGACACAACCCCTGGGCTGCAGCCGTGGGCACCATGAAGAAAGGCTTCTGGGGAGACGGGCTCCCCAAAGTGGCTAAAGAATCTCACATTATCAATATGATAATAATAAATCAATTCACCTAGTGAACCTGGAGGTTAGCCCCCGCCAAAGCCCAAGTGCTGAGGAGCGGGCTCCACGGCGCCTGAGGCTGGCCTACAGTCTCACAGACAAGTCTGTCCACCCGCTTTCTGAGGAGAGTTAGAGCAACTGATACTCAATACGGGATCTGCCCTTCCTTGTCTGGGGCGAGGGGGCAGGGTGACTGGGATCGTACCACTGAAAAGCCACTTGCAGCGTAATCAGTAGGTCCTCCCTCTGTTCCGCACCCGTCTGCCCAACCCGAGCTCTGGACCTCACACCTCGGAGTTCTGTTGTTCATACTTTTATTCATGCAATTAGCAAGTCCTAACTGGCGTCTGCACTGACTCCTTTCCTGGCACCGCTGTCATAAAGAGCGCAAGCTGCACTCCGGATCTGCAGAGCCACTTGCCACTCGCTCTGCAGCAGACGCGTCGGCCAGGGGAGGGAAGCGTCCCCCCTCACACCAGCATCGTGCATGCGCTCAGAATGTGCTTCTAGGGAGGCAGCTAAAGAGCCTGAGAAGGAGGGAGTGGGGCAGGGAAGGAGGGAGCCGCACGGAAACCCTCCCTGACCTCCACTCTTGTTAGTGTTGTTCTGAAAGAAGGGGGAGAGGGGGCGGAGTCCAGGTGACTGAGCCGACAAGGTGCCAGCTCTCCTGGATGGCCAGGAAACACCAGGTGCAGCCACGAAATCGCCACCAGCATCCCAGTGGTCACAGGTGACCACCAGGCTGGGGACACACGCAGGCTCCGTTTCCCCTCAGGATGATCCACGCACCGCTCCCCCCGGCCCTCCTTGTCTGTTCCAACTTCCAGTTCTCTTTGAGAGAACAGGCAACTGAACAGACTGAAAAAATGGGAGGAACTCCTGTCTCCTGTACCTTTCATATAAAAACTAGGTGAATCCATTTAAAAATGGGTCATCCTGAGGTCCAGGATACAGTTAGATGCATGGGCCCCCAGCTATAGATTTGCCTCTGCCTCTTCTAACCAGGTTATGACTGCTGCCTATATTTTTGCATTGTGGGGCAAAAGACCCAAAATCTCCCAGCACCGGTTCGAAGAGAAAGGGGCCAGAGTAACAAGAGAAAAAAAATTAGGTCTGTCTTCTAAGCTGCATTCAGATCCCAGAGCTGCTCTGAGAAGAAGGGAGAGGAAAGGGAGGGAGGTGCTACCCGGAGACTGTGACCAGGGCAGCTGGTTACTAGGACAGAGCATTTTAAAAACAGCTGACATCGAAGTGCAGGAATCCATTCTATGCCACAGTTTTTAAGAGAACAGCCTCTCCCAAGGACGCCAAGTCTGAGGGCCGGGGTCCGACGGCCGAGGGCCCGACGCCCGCTTCCTGGGGTCCCTGCAGGGCCCTAACCGATCTGGATCTGGCCCGAGTACATGGTGAGAAGCAGCATGATGGTGAAGCCGGTCAAGAGGCCCAGGTTCTGGATGATGAAGGGGACCAGCATGCTGCCATTCCGCTCGTCCTCCTGGCAGACTTCGTTCATCTCAGGGAACTGAGAAAGGAGAGAACACAAGAGGTCGCCGTTCCTTTCCCAGCCTTGTGAGTCCAGAAGTCCGTGCCATAGAGATATGAGACCTAATAACTGTTACATGTGGTCCATTGATGTTTATGTTCATATGACTATTATAATACTTAATATTATTGGGGTGAAATTATATAACAGATTATGTATGTATCTTCAGAAAGAAAATTAAGAGCAACAGTCTCTGGGACTTGACTGGAACAGCCTTTCTCCAAGGTGGTCACACTACAGCTGACCCTTGAACAACATAGGGTTAGGGGCGCCGACTTTCATGCAGTTGGAAATCCACATGTAGCTCAACCCCCGCCCCCGCCCAGACTTAGCCATCCCTCAGTGTCACGGAGGGTTGGTTCCAGGACACCTTTCCCCCACAACACCATGAATACCAAAATCTGTGGATGCTGAAGTCTCCTGTATAGAATGGCTCAGAACAAGGCATACAGTTGGCCTTCCACACCCATGGGTTCCCAACCACAGACGGGAGGCAGTACAGGTACTTATTGAAAAATAAATCCACATACACGTGGGGACCTGCCAAGTTCAAATCCTGTTGTTCAGGGGACAACTGTACTTTACAGCAATAGACATAAAACAAAGTATTATACATGCATGCAGTCCTGGATGTGTTTAGATGCTGGATAAAAATAAACTTTTTATTGTGATCCTTAAAAACACTTGCAAAAGGATCCTTCTGCCATCAAAATGTTATGGTCCCCTCTTTGGGAAACTGAGCAACTGTGTCAGGGGCCAGAGAGCAGAGCTATGACTCAAAGCCACTCGCTGTTGGCCAGCAAGGCAGACAAGCACTGCAGAAAACCCTAGCCAGGGGAACGGCACCCCACAAGAAAGGAGAGCATCTAGAATGCTCCATGGTGAGGCTGGATCTTGGAGATCTACTCTCATCATCTCGTCAAAAATATTATTTTCAAATAATATTTTTTGAAAATAATTCATGCAAATAAGCCAAAGAGAATGGCATGTCCACAAACAGAGTTGGTTATACCAAAGATGTCACAAATCAGGTATTTCACCAGCAAACTCAAATCTACTTAAATGGTTACACCCAATGTTAGCAGGTACAGTACAATGGACACACCCAGACTGCTGACGATGCTTTCCACTGATCTACAAATAACGTTTTTAACTAAGGACCCTGGAGTTGAGTTTAGTAATCGTTTTCTTTAAGGACATACGCTAATAGAAACATAAGCTTTTCATTCTCTGAAATCTAATGTCCTTCTAAAAAAGCACCGAGTCGTACACCTTACCCAGGCGGATGGTGTGGTATGTGAATGACCCTCCATACAGCTGTTACCCAGCCCAGTTAACTCGTGTCTCCTCAGCTGTCCTCCCACCCAACGACGTCAATAGCCCAGTCCCGTTTGGTCGTGTTCCCATGGTATGAACTGGAAGACTTACCATATCAGCCAGAGAAATATACAGGAACATTCCTCCAGCCAGTGCAAAGATCCAGTTGGCAGAGAAGTGGCTGCCGGCCAGGATACCAAAGGCCAGACCCACGTAACAGCAGCAGGCGGAAAGGAAGTTGAAGAAGAGCGCTTGCTGGAGGCTCATGCCAGCGTTGAGCAGGATGACAAAGTCTCCTGAGGTGGATTGGGCAGAGGAGAGGGTGAGGACAGACAGCGTGATGAGGGCGGGCTACTTACAAGTACGACTAAAGTCTGAGTGAAAGTCAGGACAGCCCCAGCCATGAGGTGGCAGCGGCCAGACGGGAGCGCCCTCCCCTTCCTGTCTCGCAGCTGGCTTATCTCTGCGTGCCAAGCTGGCCGCGTGCGTCCAGCCAAGGGGCTGACAATAATGCAAAACAGAAAGCCAACTAGCAACAGCCCCATTTCTCTTCTGGTTGACGGTGAAACAGAAGGAGCTTCCCTCCTCACAACCACAATGAAGGGTATTTTTAGGAAACAAAACTGAGAATGAGGGAAGATAAGTAATTTGCCCACTGTCACAAACCAGTAAGTGGCAAACCCAGGACCTGACTGTGAGTCTCTGAGCCTCTGAAGTCCAGGCTTTTTATGCCCTCTGATAAAACAAAGGACCGCCCACCCAACAACCTCTGGCTCATTGACTTCTTCCACACGCCAGTCTTTGGGAGGGTCAAGGAACGTTAGAAATGGCGTACGCTGAGTACTTAGACGACCAGTGTACGTCTCTGTTCTCCACTTTCATCTTCATGGTAAACCTACGAGGCAGGTACTGTTACCTCCACTAGTGGGAGAGGTGAAAATACAGCCACAGCGAAGGGGGCTGAAGGGAGACTGACATCCTTGCAATACGCTCCATTTTCAATGACTGACTTTCCATTATTTATTCAACTGTTAAGAATTAGTGGTTAGGTTTCACATCGCATAACGAATATATGAACAAATTACAACTAGCGCTTTGAAGAGGGGGAGGAGTCGCCCACTAGAAGGGTGCCAGCGCCAATAACGAACGAGGCAGCCCGGTGGCCCGGGGCTGGGGGCACATGCACTCACCCAGCTCGTGTGGGAACTCCTCACAGAGAATGGCCACCGAGGTGCTGATGCCTTGGAAAACGGACACGGTGAAGGAGGCTCCGATGGCCAGGCCATCAATGAAATTGTGAAGCCCGTCGCTTAGGGTGATCATCCAGGCCAGAGTGCCGATATCAGAGTAGCGGACGCCTTTCAGCCAGTAGCAGGCGCTCTGGGAGGCCTGTAGGTCCTGCACGGAAGCCAGTTCAAGGAAGGCCTGCGTCATCAAGGTCACTACTGCCTAAAGGTCCCACCCAGCAGCAGAGGGCCCACTGACCTGGACAGAGAGTGAGCCCACGATGACTTTCTCATCCACCACGGGGGCCTTGCCGTCCAGCTCGCCGCCACAGTGCTGAGGAATCATGTGGTCCAGGTCCCCGTTCTGCAGCTTCTCCGTCACCCCCTCCTCCTGGTCCTTCTTGGAAGGAAGCGTCTCGGGGGCATAATGACTATGTCCATGATGCTGCTGGAGGGACAAGGGGCAGTGAGCACGGCGCTCACCCAAACCACGCCGCTTCCTGCGATCTGTTGGGCCCATGCTCCGCGCGCTGGGCGGACCCCAATCCCAGCATCAGGGACAGTGCCCGGGCACGCGGGCAGCAGGCGCGGAACCCTGGGGCATGCTGTTAGCCCGGAGCCAAGGTGAGTGCAAGGCCCTGGCCCAGGAGAGGGTCCAAGCAGGGACCGCAGGGTGCCCGCTCACTCCAGAGGCGGCACCGCTCAGAGTATTTACAGCTCCTCCTTTGCAGCGGCTCATTTTATTTGATTCAGCAACTATTTTGGGAATGACTATGTAGCATGCGCGGAAGGCAGCTTTCTGGACGTACACTAATCGGCCTTATTTCTTTATGGTCCTATTTCACACACAGTGTATGTCCAAACCTCTCCTCTGTCCCCTACAGGTATGCAAATATGTTAAGGAAATCATTTTGAATAAAACAGAGGGGATACACGACTGCCTGGTAGAAGGCACACAAGCCAGATCTGGTTTCTGGGCCGCCCTTGCCCGCTATGACCCTCATGAGGTGAAACGGGGTATTGACTCATGAAACCTGTGGGCTTGTGCCCTCCCGAGCCCACCGCAGCAGTGCCGAGCCAACCCTACCATGACATGCAGACATTTCAGAGATGGATGCTTCCCCTGGAAGCATCTGCTTTACCAACGACTGGGCCTCACCTCATTTTTCTGCTTAAGGAGCATCTTCAAGACCTTCTCTGTGAAAAAGAATAGATAGAAACCCCCGAACACCACTGCGGATTTGGGGACGTAAAAATCCTCCAGAGGGTTGAAACCAAAAGCCTGTGGACGCAGGAAAAGAAAATGAGTTTAAGAAAATAAACCATCTCTACAGGTCCCCTCTCATCTCTCAGCCACTTCCGTGGCTGTATGAAAGGGCACGTGCGCACAGGGGAGCTGCCGTCTACCAAGTCCTTTCTAGCGAACGCTAACGCCCAGTGCTTCCCGAATATCCCACCACCAGGCCTGTGAGGTTCTCTCTCGCTTAGTTTCTGATGCAAAAGACAGATCATCTTCAGAATCATAGTGTCAGGAAGAAAAGCTGGAGACAGTTTTCTGCTTTTAATGAGGACTCTGTCTCCCCTTCTCCATTTGCTAGACGCTGCTGGCAAATTCCACACTTAAAGAGAAGGCACTTGTGCCTATTTGTACCGCTATCTCATGGCTCTGCATCATCTGCCTATAAACACAGAGGGAAAGAGGTGAAATTACACTTTCTAAAATGGGAACTCCGTTCTCCAGTTAAATACCAAGAATTGCGGCATCTTCCTGACCACAGACCTCCCAGTGACCACAAAGCCAAGGAAGCAGACAGTGTTGCTGCACATGTCAATGTTGGGGGCTTTGTCTGGAGTTCCTTCTGGACACCCTACTTATTATGCGGGGGAAGAGAATCCACGGGGGAGTGGACTGGAGTAGAACTCAGGAGAACTCCTTTCCCAGGGCTGCTCTGCGCTGGGGGCGGGGCCCCGGGAAAGGGGCCAGCGACCTGCTGCCCAGCTTTCTGACAGGAAACCCCTCTTCAGAGAACGCACTCCAGCCTCCTCAGGAAGAGGTCCAAGAGAAAAGTGATGATGAGAACCAAGAGCTCCAGGCTGCCTGAAAGGTAAATGTTTTTCCTTTCTGCTTTTAAGAGACAAAATGCAATCTCTACCCACTAGTCTAGTTTTCAAAGAGACACAGGTCAAGTTCTAGAGTGGAAACAACACATTCGGGTCAACTTTCCAGGACGGTCAAATAGTCTTAGGGGCCCTGGCTGGTGTGGCTCAGTGGATTGAGTGCCAGCCTGCAAACCAAAGGGTCACCGGTTCAATTCCCAGTCAGGGTACATGCCTGGGTTGCAGGCTGGGCCCCTAGTGCAGGGCATGTGAGAGGTAACCACGCATCGATGTTTCTCTCCCTTTTTCTCTCTCCCTTTTTCTCCCTCCCTTCCCCTCTCTCTAAAAAAAATAAAATCTTAGTTTAAAAAAAAAACAGTCTTAGGGAAAAGTGGAATAAAAATAGGCAGGTAACAGCACTCCCTGCACAAAGCCACACAGGGTCAGGGACAAGGGCAGGCTTCAGGAATGACAAGCCTAGCCTCTCCGGTGCAGTCTCCTGGCCAGGTCAGAGCCCTTATCTGGTCAGTGCGTAAAACATGACTTGCTCTCCAGACTTCACAGAGTTTATCTAAGGATCAACTAAGAAAACACAGGGCCCAAATCTGGGAAAACAAAATGTCAGAAGCAGCATGTGGCGTCATCCGTGTGCTTCGACTCCGGCTCTGCCCGGGCCTGTCGGACCACCCACAGCACCGAGCCTTGTGCCTGTTGCTGCTAGCTGGTCTCCCAGAGACGAAACCAGATCAGGTGGCACTCTCCGGGGCCATGTGCCTGACTGAAGCAAGATCTGCGCTTCCTCCTCTTTTGTGGAGGATTTTCTCACTAACCTGGGCCAAGGACAAAGGTGCCTTCAGGGTACGTGGCACCAGAAGGTTCTATTTGGCTTACCTTTGCCTCAGAATGGCCCCCTGGGAACAGATCTTTTTATTGTGACCTATGGATTCTGTGGAGAGGTCTGTTTGTTTGTATCTCTGTTGTGTTCTAAGAGTTCTCAACCAGAGCTGTGAGTGACCCACCTACACTGCATCTTCTCCCCGACAATCAGGGGCACATCCTAGGCACCGGGCACTTTACGCATATTACTCACGCAATCCTCACGGTACCCTCGTGAGGGCGGGCCTATGGCCGTCCCCATTTTCCATGGTGAGTGGTGAGGAAATGGAAGACAGTGAGGCAAAATGGCTCTCCTGCGGTCACAGGTTCTGTCCACGGGGAGCTGGCATTTAAACCCAGTCCTCCGCCTTGCGCTGTGCTGCCTCTCCTAGCTCTAAGTCTTACACCACTTTCCTAAAGGAAAGGACCTCCTCTCCCTGCCTTCCATCGACCCGGAGGGGCCTCCCGCTGCGCCCGCTGTCCCCAGGAGCCGAGGTGCTCCTGGGCGAGGAGCCCTGGCTCGCCATACCTCGGGGATGAGCTGGAAGAGGGCATTGGAGTAGAGGGTGCCAATCGCCAGAGCTACGAAGTAGAGCAGCAGCCTCTTGTAAAAGGTCTTCTTCATGAAGGGCACCACGCTGGCCCCCAAGAGGGAGCAGAGGGAGATGACGGTCACGCAGAGGAGACCATATCCCCACACTGCCGTCGGCGGAGAGCCAGCCCCACCCGGGGGGGGGGGAGAAGGATGAGTGCCCCACGGCACAACACCCACCATTGAGGGGGAAGGAGGTGGAAGGGAGGGGAGGCAACAAGGAAGGTTTGGGTGGATATTAACAAAGGCAACAAAAAGGAAAAATCAGAGAGACAAGTAGGGAGGGAGAGAGAAATAGGAAATTTGTTAGTGATTCAAGTCCGATGAAATTTCCTTCAATCAGTTCAGAGGGAATGAAGAGGAAGTCAAGATGGCCTTGGAACTCTGTGGCTCCTGCCCCCATGGCCTTTGATGACCCAAGTCGCACCTGCCAGCTGGTATGACTGTCAGGGTGGGTGCTACCTCATCACGCAGCCAACGGGAGCGCCAGCCTATCCAGAAGCTGCCACAGACAGCAGACATTGGACCCAAGGGCTCTCTTTAACAGGGAACAAGAGCAGCTGGAAAGAGACCGATCACCATGCTTCCGTGTTTGCTTTGCGTATCCACTCCATGACAGGTAGGCAGGCACCTGCACCAACACCTGGACTTGGTCTGGTGTGTGCTCAAGATACAACAAAGTGCAGGGCAGGATGATGGAGAACAAGCAAGGCCCGTGAAATCCAGATTGTTAATTTCTCAAGGGTTTTTTCCTTTTGTTCTGCGAGGGCTCCAGTGGAGAGAACAGAGTTCCAAGATCAGCCTGCACCGCCAAGATTTCCTCTGACATTCCCCAGTGCCACACACTCCAGCCTGGACAAAGCTGAGCCAGGGCGAGCCGCAGGGCTGGAGTGCGTGCCATCAACGCATGTCCATTCAACAGGCAAAGAGGCATTTCATTTAATTAATTATTTAAAAATTAACAAATTTGACATTTGGAGCTGAAAAAAATAGCCCAAGATGAGGCCTGCCCCGTGGAGTGTTTGCTGGGTTCACAGGGAATTTTGAGACAACGTCGAGATGGTTTATCTTAAACCAGATTCCTTCCCCCACTGTCAAGAGGGAACAGACAGGGCCAGGGTGCCACCTCTGGTACCCCTGCTGGCAGAGAGCCTCCGCCTGGGGAAGGTGGGCGGCCCCCGACACAGGCTCTCTACGGCAGGCACTGCCCCCACCCCGGAGGAAGTCCCCATGCCATCAGCCCCTCCCCTGCCTGCCCTGACAAGGGCGGCACGCTGCCAACTTGGGTCTTATTTTTTTTAGCTCCTCAGTGGTCACAATTAAAAAACAAAATTAATGAACATTTTCAAACAGTCAAGTGAGGGCACCAGGAAGTCAGTCCTAGCAGGAGAAAGTCAAGATGCAAGGCAGGAAGGATGCAGTGTCCCTTTCCTCTATCTCATTCATCTTGTTTTTTTTTTTTGTGGAAAGTCTTTCTTCTAGGTTTGGCTCTCTCTGCTACGAATTACGGCCTGCTTCAAAAAGAAAGGATCGCTCATCTTTTAGCCAGTTCTACTTATCAGCTGGCAACTTCTTTTCCTTCCGCCACTTCATTCCAGATGCATAATCTCTTGGTGGCCACCCCCGAGCCCTGGGAAGGCCTCTACTTAGAACAGAGGGGCACGGGGTGCCAGGGGCGCGCGCAGGGGCCGCCGGCCACAGCTTTCCTTTCGAGCCCTGCCCACTGAGCCTGGGAAGGCACTGAGGCGGCGAGGCTGGGGTCCCCAACAGGAGGGCAGAGGCCAAGAGCCTTGCACCTGACATCGCCTGAGGAAGCAGAGGGAAACCTGGTGCCCCAGGAATGAGCGAAGGCCCTTGAGATCCAGAGTCAGAAGTCATTCGTGTGCCCTGAGATGAGGAAGAAGTTAATTTGTCAGATGGCAGTATTCAGACGCCCCAGAGCGCGGGGTGCAGGCAGGGTGTCGGCAGGGAAGGCTCGGCCGGCGCCCCGGGGAAGGAGGCCACGCACGCCGGTTCTACCACACCTCTGGGATGAGCTGGAAGAGCGCATTAGAGAGCAGCGTTCCAATGGACAGGGCGATGAAGTACGTGAGCACGCGGCTGAAAAACGCCTTCTCCGTGCACGGCAGGATGAGGGCTCCAAGGAGAGAGGCCAGGTTAATCACTGAGACACTGAGGAAACCAAAGCCCCACACTGTGGAGGAACAAGAACAGATGGGAGCCCCCATTACTGAGGGCGGGGTGCTCCTGCGGCCAGGGCACACAGAGGTCTACCAACCTCTCGGTAACTATTTTTTGAGTCCGTCTCTTGCTGGGTGTTGTGGAGAAGCCTGAAAAAATACAGCAAAGCTACTGTCTGAAAGAAGCTCACTTTTTAGACGGAGGCAGGTGAAAACAAGAAACGTTAAGAGTTAAAGGGTGACAGCAGGAAGCAGGGAGGCACCACACAGGCAGCCTGTGTCAGGTATCCAGTGTCGGGCAGCAACACCAGCGCCGCCGCATTTCCGGAGCACGCTCTGGGCCCGGGGTCGTGCACACTCAAGACACGGTGTGTCCGCCGGGGCTGGAGCAGAGGGCCCAGGCGGGGCAGGGAGAAGGACGAAGTGGGCTGACAACAGACCCTGTAAGGCCTTAAGTGCTTAACTGGAAAACCAAAGCATTGGCGGCCTGGTGGTTCCATGAAAACAAAAGTGGAAAAGTGGCCGTAAAAAGCAATCAATATTTGGGCTGGTCCAAGAGCCCAACACTGAACATTTGCCAGCCACAGCGTCCCGTTTGACGACACGCTGAACCAGCCTTGTAAGTGCAAAGACGCCAGCAGAACCGCCACTCCAGCGCATCCCCCTGATGTTGATAACCTGGTCACTGGTTAAACATTGAGCAAGCAGCACTATCGATCGGCCGAGGGCCACATGAAGGCAAGCACGGACACCAGGCCTTCCTGTCCCAGCTCACCTTCCAGGGGGCTCGGCCCCGCCGCTTGCGTCTGCTCGTTCTCCTCGTTCTCCTGGTTCTCAGAGGCACAGGCCCGGGAGTCCAGCTGCTGGAGGATGGTGGGGCAGAAGTCCTGGAACTCACTCCTCCCGATCCGGGACCGGTCGCTGAAGTTGTGGGCAGCAAAGAGAACGCCAGAGCTGAAGCACTGAAACACAGACGAGGGGGTAGAGAGCCTCTGAGACCCGGAAGTCATGCCTTGCCCTGGGCAGTGACATACTCGGCCTTCTAAGAAAAAAAAAAAAAGGAGACAGAATTGTCCAAATTCCTGTACAACTGCTCTCCGGCCAGGACAGTGAAGTCATCCTTCAAATAGAAAAACTGATAAGTTATCTTAGAAATCACCACCTGGTTCATGCATACCTGATGTACAACATCTGTAAGTGGCCACCCAGAGCAACTGAATTACAATCATCACGACCAGGATGTGGTTTCTAGGAAACATGGTGCTAGTGCATACCGGAAGATCCAGCTTCAAAGCAAATCTGGCTGTGCATCACAATAGCCCAGGGAGCTATTACACTAAATCGCAGATTCCAGATACTTCTCCAGAGCAGACACGAACTCTTGGTCTCCTTAGGAAGCAGGAGGGAGTGGCCCTCACACACCATTCTGTGACACACGGCCCTTTTCCTTCTAATTATACTCTAAACACGTCAGTTTTTATCTGAGTTTGGATCTGTCTCTACAGTCAGCCTTCTAGCTATGAGGACAAGGGAGTTTCTGGGCCTTCAAAGCAGAGGGTTCTGTGGACCCCAAGACACTGCCACGGCGCTGTGTCAGCCCCGAGGGCGGCCTCCTCCCTCACTCAGATGCTCACCACGCCCCCATGGTTCTGCACACAGGCCCCCCGACCTCTCCCAACTCCACTCGCCTTCAAGTGGAAGCTCCAGGACACCTCCCCCACGAACATCCCTGGACTCATTTCTGATTCCTACAATGGCTGTCCAGCTGACAACATTTAACGCTTCATTTTAATGCCAGCTAATTTTGTTCTTGGTTGGTTGAGTTTCCCATCCTGAGAGCAACCCCCCTAAATGTGACTCATTTTTCCTGTATCTCACAACACTCAGCACAGCAAACATTGTTGAGCTATAAAGCCACTGCTGGCTGACTTAGAGCTGGCTGTCTCAAATAGCCTCAGGCTCGGATTAGCCAAGAAGCTGAGGGAGAAAGAACAAAGAACCAGGACCCAGAAGAACCTGGGCCTTAGTCCTGGTCCCTCCAGTATCTCTCTCTGGGACCCCCAGTGTTCTGTCCCAGAGAGTGAAGATTTTCCACCTGCACCTAGAGGTGCTGCGAGGCTCACCTGGGAGAGAGGACCAAGGGCTTTGTAATCTACAAACTCTATCAGGAACGCTCGCTGTCCTGGGATCTCAGCTGACCAGAAGCTCTGGGCGATCCCAGTACAGCTGCGGGGCGCAGTCTGGAGGGCCGAGGACCCCCACTTCCTGGCTGCCCTTTGGTACTGGCTTCACAACACCGGCGCAGGGGGGTGGGCATTGCTGCTGGAGACTCCGACTTGCTGACCTGACAGCAGGGGAAGAGCTGGCCTCTCTGCTCTGTCATCAGGGCCTGCCCGCCCCGAGCAGCTCAGCCGCTGAGGCCAACTGGCCTGTGAACCGAGAGGGCAGAGTGCTGAGCAGAGCTGCGAGCCTTACCGTGGACAGGTTCCTCTGTTCCTGCAGGGGCCAGGTGACATTGTCCCGGCCCACCCCCACATCCAGGTGGTTGAGCAGGGCCTTCAGCTGCTGCAGGGTGAGGCTGTCCCCCTCCCCATAGCGATGCATGAGGTCCTGCAGGAATGAGGCCGCACTGACGGCTGGCGTCCCCATGGACACAGCGCGAGTCTCAGGAGCAGCTGTCCATAGGCTGAGCAGGGTCAGCAGGAGGCAGCGAGGGAAGGCTGGATGTAGCAGCTTCATGGTGACAAATAAGCCTGTAAGAGCAAAAAGCCAGGTGAGGGTCAGGCTTAAAAACCCACCTCGCCTTCCACTTGTCCTGTCTGCTGACACCAGACCCGTCAGCCATGCTCCAAAGGGGGATGGGTCTCTCCTCAGACCCTGAACGCAGTCAGGATCGAATGCCTCCATCTAGCTTTCCAGAAAAATCCTCCTTTTGCAAGCAGAGCATAAAAAAAATAAAAGGACAAATTCAACAGGTTTGACTAAATTAAAGTAAAAAACTATGTGGTTATGTTTTTTTTTAAAGTCCTTATCTTTTAGAGATACTGAAACAACCATGGGTTAAATAATATCCTGGATTTACTTCAAAATAGCACAGGGCGCTGTCTGCACGAGAGCGCAGTCGAGACGAGGCGGCCACGAGCTGGTGGCTGCGGGCCCTGAGCACGGGACCGACGGCGACTCACCGTGCTGCTCTAGCTTCGTGGGTTTGAAATCCTCCAAAATAAAAATCTAAAAAATGACTACTACAACTAAGAGCGGGAAAAGAAAAACGAGGCTGGGAAAAATATATACCATCAAACATGACCAATGCTTACTTCTGTCCCGCCTAAATCAGGGAACAAACATGGAACATACTCAGTCTCTCTGGCTTGTTAGCAATGCAGATGGAAAAGGTGGCTGATGCTACTGCTCGTTATTAAGAGAGCAAAACAGATTTTGTATAAAAGATATAAAACCAAATGTTAATGAGGTTGAACAACCAAATAAGATAAGTGGTGGCTATCTAAGTAACATGGCTCCTAAAGATGTAACAGAAGTATCCTCTGGATCTGTAATTCGACTTCTGCAATGTATACTACAGGAGCAATTCAAAAATAAAAAGGCAGAACGATGTGTCACTTCAAGTGAATTAGAATATATCAACTTCAGGGATTTGCATGCAACTCTAAAAATAAGACTCAGGAGTTTAATAATGTTTAGAAACAGGACAATTAGGTAAAAGAATTAAAAACTAAGAGAGAACAGAGAAAAATGAAACCTTTAAGATAGGAGGACTAACGATTTTTCTTTGGTTAATCATTTATACAGTTACAATTTAATGAGCGAAATAAACAAATACCAGGAAGGGAAGGAAAACGAGCCTCCTGTGAAATCCAGAGGCAGGAACCCACTCCCTGCAGCTGTTTCCACGGCTCCCGGGGCACGAGGCCTCACGGCAGTCGTTCCACCTCTGCTCCAGGCTCGTGACCAGGGAGCTACGTAGGACAGCGGCTGAGAGCAGGCTCGTCTGCATCCTGGCTCTGCCCCTCACCAGGTGCGTCATCTTGGGCCAGGTATGAACCAGCGTCAACATTCTAGAATCGCCCAGAGCAGTGCTGGCCTTTCATGTCAGAGAGGCCAGCTCGAATTTCCGCAATGCTGCTTACACAATGTGGCCTTGGCCAAGCGACTGAGCTTCCTTCACTCCACACCTCGGTTTTCTCATCTATAAATCTGGTAGCACTCACTGGATTATTGTGAAGATTTAATGCCATGAGCCAAGACAAGTCACTGAGTGCATGGACTATAGAAAGCACTCAATAAAACGTGACTATTATTTTAAGATTTCTAATTAGCAGAGTTTCTCTACTTGGACTTCCGCTCAGCTCAGACATTGAGCAGCAGACAGAATGGTCAGAAATACCCCTGTGGCTGACTCCACTGATTCCAGGCCTGTGGCATGCCGCCACGCAAGTCCCCGAACACGAGCACATCTGGGGCATTCCAGGCGGCACGGGGCACACACAGATCTGGGGACACAGAACATCGCTCTTCATGGAATATACTCTGAGTCACACAAACAGATGGATTAGGTGACGGCAAAAACAATGCTTGGTAAAAGTGTTACTTTGAGACTAACAACTCTCCAATCTCCACCAAGAATCAAAAGTTAAATTATGGTATGCAGGGTGGATCTTGGTCCAAAACGGCTAATCCCACTACACAAAGAAAGCCGTTCTCCACCTGACCACACTCATCTGTCAAAGGCCTGCACGGGACTGCCAGAGTGACGAGCTGCGTGGACTTAGGAGGGGAGAGGCAGAGAGACGATGGGGACAGCTGTTGGCGTTACCAGGGTGCACTCTGCTCGCCCGGACAGTCACGATCCCTGCAGGAGAAGGTGGGACACGTACCCACATCTACTAAATGAGGAGTTGGGGTTCAGAGACCAGGAAACGGGATCCATAGTCAGCAAGCAGAGCAGGGAAGTCAGAAACTGAGTTTTTCACGAAAGGACGCCAAGTCTGAATGACACTAAAGCCAGAGCGCCCTTAACCACTGTGCCCACTGGGTGGACACCAAAATACACACCCTGGGTCCCCTGAAGAGCCACCAAACCCTGCATGCCTCTGGGCGGCATCGTCCCCAGCAGGCCCCGGGCAGGGGAACCCCCGTACGCCTCAGTGGCCGGCTGCGTCCCGGGGCTCCTTCTGTAGGGTCGCTTCGGCAGAAACAACTGTTCAACTCGGCTGTATTTCTCAATTGTATCTGCAGCAACTTCAGAACCTCAGAAAAACAGGCATAAACACACTTCCAGGATGAACTTTAGCTGGATCTGGATGGCACGCGCGCCAAGGTGAGCTGTTACGGAGTATCTGCTCCTCGCGGACCCTGTGGCCCGCTGGCCCTGGCAAGGCGGCCTGGAGCAAGCGGGCCGTCCTGCCCGGCCAGCACACTGGCTTCACTTGCCCCTGGAGTCTGAGGACCATGGGTGGGGCAGCAGGAAGTCCTAGTCCAGGCACCAAGGGGTTGCTAAAGACACTGCAAATCCAAGTGACCCTGGACACAAAAAAGGGACTTACTGCTCCAATGCAGATTTTCCTCCCCCCTTGACTAGAAGTTATTCTTAGGGGAAAGAAGTTCATAAACGACTCCTTGGAGGAAAGAACAAAGAGAGGAAGCAAGCCTGGTGCAGCTGATGGCGCAGCTGGGCAGAGCCTCGTGGCCAGTGGCCCTGGCTGCAGGAGGAAGCCCCTTCTGTTAAGGTCATGGCAACGGGAGGCTGGGCGGGGGGGGGGGGGGGAGGGTTGGCCGGGAAGGGCACTTGTGTCCTCCTAAGGAGCTGAGCCAACTGCCCTCCAGGACACCTTCCAGGAGCGGCAAGAAGAGCATGTGGGGCAGGCCATCAAAACAAGTCAGGGGACAAATGCTTGAGTGTGCTGCCGGAGGGCTCAGGGGACCAGGCTCCCACTAAAGAGAAGCCGGAGTCTCTCCACTCCTTTGTTCACCTGGCTTGGGTTCAAAGAAGTAAATTATTTTAGTGCTGTAGTCCTGTCTCCAAGGCACCAGACCCAACCCTTCCCAGAGGGAAACGAAAGACCCATGAGGAAGTCCGACCCTCTGCGGAACTTCCAAAGTCTCCTTGGCTCCTGGAGGCTCCCAGTCAGCCTGGCACCTGCAGGCTGCACCTGTCCAGGCCCGGAAGGGTTTCACTCTGCTCTGTGGACACACCTGACTGCTGGGCTTACCATGCTGTATTTATTTCTAGGCCTACCTCCCCTCTCAGAGAGGAACATTTACTTCCCTTTTGGGGTGACAGAGCGGTGACATGCCATGATGCTTGGTCCAGAGGCTGGACACAGATGTGAGTAGAACAGACAATAGGGCCCGGGGGGCCCGGGAGCTGCTCGGCCTGCACACACGCGCCCCCGCCCTGGCCGCCAGCTGACCAGGCAGCCCACTGTTCTCACACAGACTCCTATGTGCCCAGGACTGACACGTGGAAGATAAGATCAAACGCTCCAGAGACAAACTTGGCTAAGGCACAGTTGTCTCCAAGGCCAACTGGTAAGCCACAGGAAACAGGTAAGCCATGTGTGCTTGAAACGGAATATAAAAGGAAAAAGAGCCACCCATTTACATTGGCTCTGTGCCCAGTCTAAGGCTGGGTGATGTGGGAGCACAACCAAGTCCGATGCTGGGGCTCCGACGCTGGGGTCTCAGGCGGTGGGGGCGGCGATCCGCGCAAGGCTGTCCGAGCTGGGTTTTGACAGAGCACTTTATTTAAAATTGAGAAAAGGCTGACTGCCACACCAAAGAATGAGCCCGGGGGGTGGAGGGGTGGACAAGGTGTGGTGAGCAGGTGGGGGAAAGAGGAGCTGCAGTGACGGGAACGGTGGCACCCGGGGGCCGGGCGGCCCCGCCGCTCACTGGCCTCCGCGACCCGTCTTGAACATCCTCCTCAACTGTCCTCACCCCCACCTGATACCCGAGGAATGTAAAAAGAGATGTCTAGGCCTTTTATATTCCTCTCCAGACAGACAGCAGGTGTCCCTGAGGCCTCAATGCATCTTCTATCAGTGACCCAACTAGCTGCTACCAGGCAGCTCCCAGCCCTCCGGGGTCCTCGCCCTTTGGCAGCGTCTCTACAGAAGGGCTTCCGGTAGGCTGTCCTTTCGCCAGTCCCACCCCACCCCACTGGAAGGCTGGGAACTATCAGCCTAACAGGGCTGTCTCCCCAGTGGACATCCCCAGACGCAGGTGGCCCTGAATGAGTCCTGGGGCAACATTCCTGAGCAGCCTCCAGGAGGAGAGGTGCACAGAAATCCCTGAAACGTTCACACCACAGACAAGGCCAGGCCGCAGGCAGAGGTGGGGGCCCTGAGGAATCCAAAACCCCGCATTTGTCCTTGGCACAGTAGGTGCTACTGAGTAGGGCTGTGCCGTCTTTGGCAACAGAAGGACCATGGACTTGGTGGGAAAAGTCCACTTTGCAGTGACTCCAAACAACTCGCGGGTCTCACCAGGTGTGTTTGCTCAGTTTGGAAAGAGAAAAACAAACCTGTAGTTTTATGAGCATTAAAGAAGATAAAGTATGTTGAAACACTATATAAAAATAAAGATTTCTAAGATGGAGAATTGAAGTGGCATCAAAATTTTCCTTCCCCTGATAATTGACATTTGAGTAAAAAAGTATGAGCAAGCAAAAAAAAAAAAGAAAGAAAGAAAGAAAGAAAAAGAAAAAGAAAAAGAAAAAGAAAGAAAGGCCACC